TAGGTATCTAATATTTAAATATCTATTTGCCCAAGTTATTCTACATGCCATTCTCTTCAAGTCTGAGATCCCAAGGATATGATCACCTATGAATAATCTATGGAATAATGTATAACAAACCAGACACTCTAGTTAATAAAAAGATGAATGATTTTCTTTGTCCTGCTATTAACTTCTATAAAAAAAAAGTCCTTTTATGAAACTTATCTTAAGAAAAGAAAAAAACAACACTGTTCACACATTTTCTGTACTGACAGAAATCTAACACTTTTTTTTGCAATAATACTCTCCTCTTCCCACCACCTCTCTGCAAAGCTGCTTACCCACACAGACCCCGTATGTCTCTCCTCCGACCTCAAAAACTGCCCTCCTCCTCCCCTCCCCCAACCTAAAAAAAACGCCCTCCTCCTCCCCTCCCCTGACCTCAAAAACCGCCCTCCTCCTCCCCTCCCCCGACCTAAAAAACCACCCTCCTCCTCCCCTCCCACAACCAAGTCCAACCAACAGACCATGGAAAAAACTCTATCCCTCTCCTCCACCCTCCTTTACCTCCCCAACCCATCCCCAATCCCTACCTACACCTTCACTCCCTCCCATGCCCCCACTCCCCACAACCTGCTACACTTGCCAGAAATGCCGGAGGAGCGAGAAGGGTGTTGCTCAGGTAGAGTTCCTTGACCCAGGGGAAAGCCGAGAGGAAGTTGACGATCTTGTCCGTGCTGTACTCTTTCTCCCGGACATCGTTGGCCATGAACTCTAGGGTCAGGATCTTGATGGACGGGAACATGGACATTTTCTGTGGGCCGACGTGGAAGGTTAGATTAGTGGATCAACAAGGTCGATTGTAGGCCTAAACTCAGAGCTATTCGCAGATCATAAAGCCAAATAAACCAACTTGCATGTGTTTCACTTTCCTTTCACTGCTGATATACATGTACACACACACACACACACACACACATATATATATATAGAGAGAGAGAGAGTCATCGTTGTTATCATTTTGTTTCTTTGAAGAAAATATACTTGATTTAAGCACTGTTTTTTCACCACTTATTATTATTTATTATTCATCAGTCTATCCCATTTATTATTTACACTACAGTCCGAGGGATGAGATTCAGAAGGAAAATAAGAGGAGACTTAGAATAAAAGGGGAGAGAGAGAGAGAGAGAGAGAGAGAGAGAGAGAGAGAGAGAGAGAGAGAGAGAGAGAGAGAGAGAGAGAGAGAGAGAGAGAGAGAGAGATAATAACACTAACACAGAAAAGGAATTAGAAAAAAGGTAGGAAGACTACTATGGTTATCTTGAATTAAATTAACTGATATCTTGCATATACTAAAAATACTAATTCTCAATCAGCATTCAGAAAAAAATAAACTATCCTCATATTGCTTGCCTCCTCCTATGCTATCTCTGAATACAGGGAAGTAAACAGTAGTATAGTGACAAAGTGAGAGACACAGACACAAGACAGATATAGTATAGTGACAAAGAGAGAGGCACAGACACAAGACATATATAAACAGAGAGAGAAAGAGAAACAGAGACAGAGATCCAGCCCTGTGTCACCTTTGCATCTTCCTCGGGGATGTCACCCTCAAAATAATTGACGGGGAGGTTGAACCGCACAATGTCCTGGGGCATGACGCGGAGGTTTAGGTTCTCCAAGCTGGACATTTCCGCGAGCAGCACCGTCAACTCCAGGTCAGTGAGGGCCAGTGCCTCGAGGTCAAGCTTCTTCACCTGTTTCATGGGCACAGTCTGAGGGAGAGATGAGTTTCAGGCACTTCAGCTATCGATGTGGCAAACTGGAAAGAAACTATTTATACAAGAGCTCACATATCTGCTATCTCTATCAACAAAACCTGTGTTGATATGGTAAAAAAAAAACTTGACTGACAGTGGCAAACTGGAAAGAAACTATCTATACAAGGGCTCACATCTCTGCTATCTCTATCAACAAAACTTGTGTTGATATGGTAAAAAAAAAACTTGACTGACTGTGGCAAACTGGAAAGAAACTATTTATACAAGAGCTCACATCTCTGCTACCTGTATCAACAAAACCTGTGTTGATATGGTAAAAAACTTGAATGACTGATTATCTCTTACTTCCTGACACACCAACGTATCAGATTCTTAGTAGAAAGCACGTCCCCAGACCCAAGATGATACTTCCATAACTTTAAATACTCACCGAGCACAAGAGGGGTATACTTGGCCTAATGTTTTCTGTGTTCATGAGTCTCATGTATGACAGTTTGGGGCATGACTTTGCTGCCCGTTTGATCTGATCAAAATTCATGTCTTGACAATTCACCGCCAGGACAGTCACATTTAGCTTGCGCGCGGCGTTACCTCCATTCTGGGAGAGAGAAACAAAAACATTGAAAGAGATTGAATAAATATCTCTGACAAAAAATCACCTACGTATAAAGCTATGAACCATCACAAACAGAAATATAAAAACAGACTTGTTTACATATAAAATTGTACGTGAACATATGTTTTAAATATAATATAAAGATCATAAAAATGTCAAGCTGGTATTATTAACTATTCATGAAAATTAAGTCACTGGAGCTTATATAATACAACTGTTGCTGAAGACTAACCAAGATGATGATGATGATGATGATAATAATAATAATAATAAAAAAAAAACTCTTACACTTATTATAAAAATGAATCCTTAGTTAATAATAGTTAACACAATACTACAGGTTTATGTACTGTCACCCTATAGATTTTTGTGAATTTTGGTACATACAGATGGCTCCACATGTGCTCTGCCACCAAGGAGTCTATCAGTAGGACCTTGTGACTGTGCCTGATTTCACCTTGAATTTGAGGGAAAATGTGTTTTTCTTTCTAATACTAATAATATTGTTATTATTCTTAATCTTATTGATATTATGATCATTATATTGCCATCAAAATATTGATAATATTAAAAACAATTAGATATTACAAATGAAACTTTCAAAAAAATCAAGGAAAAGGTTAAACAGGTGTAACAGGTAAGACTAATAACTGACTCCTTGGTGACTAAGCACTTGTAGAACCATCTATGTGTAAAGACAATAGAACTTTTATTACAGTGGGTATGGCATTATATTCTTGCCACCCACTCCAATTCTGTTAAGACTTAACATATATAACAGAAAGAACACCAGCCTAACTCAACCATCAACGGCACAAAATACACACATCTGCAAACTACAACACAACCAAAGCTTGAATGAGAGACAAACCCTCAAACCCATTTATTCGGCTGTTCACGTCTGAAAGAAATGCCACCGATCACATTCAAGGACACGTTTCCTGCTTTACCTTGTGCTTGGCTTCCATGTCCAGCAGGTAGAGCACGGCGTCAAACGTGTTCCAGAAAGTGAGCGTCTCGACCGTCTCCATCTTGGGCTGCAGGGCAAGGGCGATGGCTCCCACTGGTAAGCGCATCGCATTCTGGCTTTTGAGCAGCATGTTGTTGCGCAAAACCTCCAGGTGCGGGAGGGCTAGTTGCCAGCTTGAATTTTCCTGTCAAGGGTAAGAGAAAGAATTGAATACCTATGGTCTAATGGTGCCTTTCTGTGACTTTTTCTTTTTCTTTTCTCTTCTTTTGGTTACGATCTTTTCTATTCAAAGGAAATTAAAACTATCAAACTGACAGACTGAATGGTAATCCTCGAATCCTGATATGGTGCAAAAAGACAAGATAGACAGAAAAAGAGAAAGAAAGAAAGAAAGAAAGAAAGAAAGAAAAAATACAGACCCTATAAAAATGTCCTACACCAGCACCTTACCTTATTGTCCTTTAAGACCATGTCCAAGACTTTCTCACTCTTTTTGTCGATGTTCCACAAGCCACTGCAAAGGACCTTGTCAGATACCCCGCCTGCCAGCTCCAGCACACGCAAATTCCTGAAACGAAGAAAAAGAGGGAAAAGGAAAATTTATGCATCTGTATGGTCTCTACAGTATCGATTCTTTTTAAATTTGATTTTTCCCTTCTAGTCATTCATCATTCCTCCCCATTTTCCTGACAGCTCTGTCTTTCTCCCCTTTTTTTTTTCATTCTCTCTCTTTTCTTCCCATAGCTAATCCTTTCTTTCTTTCCTTCCTCTTTCCTCCCTCCCTTCCTCCCCTTCCTGCTCTTGTTCTCCCTCTCTCCAGCCTAGTTTTCCTCCCTCCCCCAACCAAATATCTACTTCACCCTTTACCCTATTCCCTATCCCCTCTTTCACATCCATACTTTACCACCTTCACCCTCCCTTTCCCATCACACCTTCCCCTCCTGTTCCCTCCCTTTCCCCTCCCGTTCCCTCCCTTTCCCATCACACCTTCCCCTCCTGTTCCCTCCCTTTCCCCTCCCATTCCCTCCCTTCACCCTCCCTTTCCCATCACACTTTCCCCTCCTGTTCCCTCCCTTTCCCCTCCCGTTCCTCACCTGAACACCAGTACCCTCTTAAACGAACTGTTGTCGCTCAGGGGCATGTAGAGGGTGCGCAGATGGGGCGAGTTCTTGGCCAGGAACTCGAACATGGGGTCCGTCTGGTTGAGCTCGCTGAGGGCGAAGGTTGCGTTAAGCCGGATGAGGAAATCCTGGATGAGGTCCTCTTGCAAGGGGAGGCATCCATCGGGGGGCCACAGTTTCTCCAGGCCAAGCTTCAGCGACAGTGCCAGCAGCAGCGAGTTGTACCGGATGCGTCCAGGGTCCTCTTCGTCCCCCCCATCGGCCTGGCTCCACTGGATGAGGAAAAAAAAAAGCAGACAAAAATAAAAAGGGATGAATAAATAAAAGGTTTGGGTAGAAAAAACAATAATAAGATGATGATGAAAAAGAAGAAGAAAAAGAAGAACAAAAAGAAAGTAATGATCATTGCTAAAATTACTAATGGGCTAAATTATGAATTCTTTATTTATCCATAAAAAAAACCTTTACAGTGCCTGAGAGTGTGCTGGTTGGTAGAGCAGAATCACCCTGTTTTGGTGGCTGGAATATAGACACATACTATTCACATATACAGTACTTCTCATGAGCTTTGACTTTTGGTGCAAGTATGCATATTTTGAAATTCATGTTATTTCATCTTTATTTAATTTCATATAGCAGGTTCTTTTACTCTTTATTTCCTATTAGTTTCTTGTTATTATGTGTACAAATGAGGCTCCCACAAAATGTCACTGATAAAAGACACACACACACTTATATATATATATATATATATATATATATATATATATATATATATATATATATATATATATATATATATATATATATATATATATGATCAGACAACACAAAGAACCTCACATCTTTACGATACAGTCGAGAGTGATCCCTCAGAGTGGCTAGGAACCACTTCCTCTCCATTTTGAACTGTATCAAGTTGTTTTCGACCACTTCAACGAGGGCGGTCAACCTCTCCTGTGAGAGAGAAATATAAAAAAAATGAATGAATGAAGAATAAATTACCACAATTTTTACTACAATGTGATCATGATATATATGGTATACATCACTTGTCTAAGTATAAAATTTTGATTTATTAATGTTAAGAATGACTATAGGGATTAAGCAAACATATAGCTTTGAGAAATATGGTTTCGGAAATAACAAACAGATATTTAAGTGAAAATAAAATACTCCTCTTAATAAGTAATTCTGTGATATTACAAACAAAAATGAATTATGACAAATCCAATAAATTTAGAGAAATGAAAGAAAAAGAAAGAAGAAAACAAACAAACTTGTATTGGAACAAAGTCAAGAATGAATATATATAAATATACTACCTATAGACTAAACACAATGGATTCATAAGTGAGATATCTGATTAAAAGAAAATACTCACAAACATCGAGGTATTAGTCAAAACTATTCGCTTCACTGCCATTGTTGTGTAGAGAGACAGGAGCTCCACAGTTTCAAACACAATACTCTCTGCGTCATTACTGAAAAGAAAATTAATCAGTATCAGTAATGTCATATATATGAACAACAGAATAAATCAAAAGAAAATAGCCTAATATCAGGGATACACGCAAACTACATCAATACAATTACAAAATTCATGATATTTGCACTAACAACCAGAACGTGCTTGACACAAAAATATATAGCACCAATTTTTTTTATATTCATGCAGCACTGCAACAGAGGAGGCAACACAGGAGGTGGTCCTTGCAACCACAAAGTTTGAGTGCAACCATACACCTCCCAAGCAACCCAGCTGTGAGTGCACACTATCACCATTTCCTTGGTAAATGTGGAAGTAGAAATGAATTGGTCCTGCTTTCACATCTTCCCATGTAAATAAAGCGATGAAGGGAAGAACAGTGAATACAGTGAGTTTCCATATATTTCTACATTTTCTTGTTCTTCTCTTTGATGTTTTATGGACAATTTGCTCAACATGAATCCTAAATCATCCTATACTTAAGTGCAACAAACATCCCTTTGGTCACCCTATTGCATCATCCTGTGGTGTTTCCATTATAGACATGTCCCCTATATCTCCTTCCACATGGGACCAACTTTGAATTTGAATACAATCACCAATGTATGACAATCTGGACAGCACAAATCAAATCTAATCCAACACCACCAAATTCGTAAATGGTAAATCTTAACCTTAAAGACGCACTAAGCTTGGGCAAAGACATGACACTCTTATAGAGAACAAAAAGTGAAAAAGATTGCGGAAAGCACCACTCGCAGCCTAAATCCACTCAGTGCTCCTAAATTTCAGCTTTATCTCGACATGCCTACCGAGGGAGTGGTCGACCCCCCTTATGCAATGCCCGAGTCATGGCAACTGAGAATGTTGAATTAATTTTGTGATGTGGAGTTGGGGACTTAGTCTCCGATAAGAAGTGTGTCCATAATGAGAAAAATCACCTCATAAATAACTGAGATGTGGCTTCTCTATGGACTAAAAGTAATTGTAAATAATTAAGCAATAATATACATGAAAAAATAAAGGCTTCACTTGTACAGGACCCTTACCCCCCCTTCCCCCCTTAATCCTATCCTGGCCCTTTCCCTCATCCCTATCCTATTCAACACGTGCAACCCATGCAACCATGCAATCTTGCATGCCCTCGTCTCCTGTCGCCGAAAACCCTTCGAATCTGCCAATGAAAATATGGAACAAAACTTTTCTCCTCACTTTCTCTCTCTTCTCACTCCTTTCCCACAATTCCCTACACCATTTACACACTCCCACAACATAACAGACAACTAGAGCTCTAAACACCCGAAATCCCAGCCCCAAAAACGGGAAAATTACCTCATAATTCAATATTTTTTTAAAGCGAGTCCTCTCCTCATGTCAACAAATCCGGGAATGTTTTGGTTTGTTGGCAGAGCATTTGTTAAATATAAACAAAAATTCTCGATTTTCTTAAAGTTCAATAATTATAAAATGTAACTACAAACTTATTATTATTATTTTTGTGTGTGTAAGTATATTATTTTTTTTAGGTCTTCATG